TCTGCTACTTGTTTGGCAATACCTTGCTACAGCATGAGCAACAGTTTAACTCTTAGCTGGGGTAAACTGGGGAAGAGGTTAGTCGTAGGAAAAACATGTGAATAAAAAATGTGGAAAAAACTATGACTAGTTGGTTGTTAGTGCCACAGAAAGCATCTGGAAAGAGAAAAACTACAGTGATGAACTCTAGCATGCAAGAATCTGCTCTTCCAGTCCTGTTTATACCCAAACAATGACTTTAATAAAGTGATTAGTATGCTGATTGTGAACTAGTTTCTCTAAATAAAGAGAAGCAAGGCTACCTAGGAAAGGGAGTGCAGGCAGGAAGATTATAGAAGCAAGCAAAACTACAACTGTGCTGAAGGTTGCAATGTGATGCTGAATCACACCCTGTAGTCATAATCATAAAGTACGGATCTGTCCTCTTGGTCTTTCACTGTTAAAAAGCAGAAATAAACTTGCTACATATTAAGTTATGTTTACAGAAAGAAAATTAACAGTTTTTATGAGAAGCAGCTGTCAAAAAACAGCTTTTCGCTTGATGTATTTTTTCTAGTGTCTTTGTGGAAGACAGCAATCTTTTTCCTTTTGACATACCTATTATGTCAGGAGTTCAAGTAAGAGCATATTGACAGATACATGATCAAAACAGCTTTATTCAGTCTCATACTTCTGAGTTCTAACAATTTTCACTTGTAATTCATAGAACCCTCGAGAAATACATATATTGACTGCTGGATGGCACAAGTTGTTTTTAAGCACAACACAGGCTCTTAAGTTTCAAACCAGCAATATCTTGGCTGTTTATAAATCAGTTTATAAGCATCACTATAGGAATGTGAAGGATGGACAACTGAGTGCAGTTTACCTTCAGTCTTCATTTAACTTGAGATACAGTTATCACCTCACCATCTGCATTCTTCCTTTGGGAAGAGGGGTAATATTTCCTTAGCAGAACTTTAAGCTGACAAAACTCTTCAGCCTTAATCAGGCCCAAGCTTAGAACTGCTTGGTACTTAACATACATCCCCCTCTCCTTATTTCAGCTGTCTCCTCATTTCTTCCAGGAGGCTGCATGGTACACAACCCTCTTCCTGCCCTCTGCACTCACTTCGCTCATTGCACTGTTGCTGCCTCGCATCATGAGGGAAGTCGGAGAGAATCAAGTCTTCCATTTAACAAAGCCCTCTCTGAACAAATGCATAGATAATATTTTTGCTGGTCACTAAGGATACAACTTTAGACAGCCATCATACAGCAGAGCTTCCCAAACTGAGTTGAGAAGCTTCCAATAAAATCAGCTGATCGTTTCCTATTGTTTTATTGTATTGCTACTTCCATTACTTCTGCTCCATGTTTTGATAACCATCCAAATTATCGACGTATCTCGCTCACATTTTGTACATCAATGTACGTAAGGTGAACTTCACAATACTGATACATTTCCTTCCCATTTTAAACCAATCATTAAGAAAATTAACAAAAGAGATGAAAGGTTTTAGTACATCTTATAAAAAATATACATATGCTATATTAATGTATGCACCTGGATAATACTAAAATGGCCTGGGAAACAGTGTGTATGTTACTCACTGAATGGCACAGTGATTAATCTTTTTCCTTCCGTTCCATGGTCATTTTCCATGCCCTCTCATGCTCCTTGCTGTTTTGAGAATTTGTCTTGGTGATGAAGGAAGAAAGAGGGATGTGGCTAAGGGGAGGTGAATGGAGGATGGGATGATGCAGGGACAGCTGCATCTGGAGGCAAAGAAGACAGCACAGAGCAAGGACAGACACTTTACAGCCACCAAGAACTGCCAAACCCATCCTGGTGCTTCTCAGGTGGGACAGCAGTAAGAGCTCAGCACCCTCCAGCCAAAATGATGGGATTGGAGATATGGCAGAAGACCATGCCTCCTGGGAGAGCTTGAGCACGGCTATGCCAGGACAGGACATGCTAAGCAGCACCTGATAGATAAGGTGTGCTTTACTCCAGGCCTGTGCAAAACCTTCTCAGCAGCTTCTTGCACTTGCCTTGCCTGCCCTGTCCCAAAGGCTCCCTTACAGAGTGGGTTCATCAAAGAGGTATCATGGAAATCCCTTGTAGAAAAAAACTCAACCAAAATATAAATTGGCATCTGGCACACCAGGCAACCTCCTGGATCACTCACTGCACTGGTGGTCACAGTGCTCATGTTGTGGTCTTACAGAGGACCATTTGAACAAAAAGTCTTTGCACAGCTAATGACTCCCCTTCTATCGAAGACAGTGTTTTCTCTGCCATCTGCAGCAATTTTCTGTTCCAGTCTAGAGAGTTCAAAGGAGAAAAGATAGGACCTGGGCAAGATATTTGAAGTGCTGTAAATGTGGTTTGGTAACCTATCAAGGTATGAGGTAACCATTAGAACCTGAACTGTAAATATGTGAACCTAGCTGAAAATGCACACAAACGCTTTGTACTTACAGCATTATCACTGGGAACAAAACCTTAGTGACCAATAATTATTTTAATCCTGATAATAATTACCTTTCTTAATTTTCCCTTATCTGTTCAAAGCACAGGTTTAAAATACTACTGTAATTGAGCTCAGTGGGAAAACTGAAATGATTTTTCATTATATTAGATAACTAGCTTGATAAAATATAACAGGAAATGGACTGCAAAAACAGTGAGACCATCCTTCTCATTAGCTAAGAGACTGGGAAAAGCAAGTCTTGGAAATTTATCTTATTGGACATGCTACAATAATTTGATATTAAAAGCACTGACCTTTAGCTCATTATTTTATGCAATTACTACCCATTATTCTCAGACAATGATTCAGTAGTGCCTTGTAATATATCCCAAGACTCAAGAGCAACTGTATTTAAGATTAATTTTATTTCAATTAAGTAAAGCAACTACTTGAGCCAAAGTATGTTTTTTTTTAAAAGCACCCTTAAATTCAATTAAGGGCTCCCATAAAACCTCACCCATTTACAATGAGCCTCAAGTCATGGAAAATTTCAATCTCAAATAGTTATTTCAGCTTGAAGTACAGTTTTTATAAAACTTGCTCGATTTCCACTGTGACAGTGTATTTTCTACCTCACCTATTTCTCTATGGACACTTCACTAGACTTACATATCTTCATCTTGAAGTATGTCACACATTGCATTTTCATCTTCCACAAGAAAAGTCTAGTTTACATAATAACCTATGATGAAATTACTACCAATGTCTGGATGCTGAAACACTTTTTTTCCTTAACTTAATGTATCTAAGAAAACTCATCCCTCACACACCACTGACATGGCAACACCAAGAACTGTTATCAGTCATGTGATTTGACTGACATTTCCCATGGCATGGTAAAAGAGATCTAGATGTTGTTCATATCTAATCTTTCTTCCTACAAAGACACAGGGTTGCATTGCTGTTTAACCTCTGTCTTGACAAACAGGAAACCAGAAACCAGAGTGATGTTATACCAAAAAAAGGAGGTTCACAATGTATGTCTAGTATTAGAAATCAACAAAAGCCATATTACATTTAAATTTCTTAGTGACAGTACTCACCTTTCAACAAATCTCATCAAAAGGGATGAACCTCAAGCTTATACACAACACCACAATATACCCATACTGCATTTCACCAGTGCCATTGCCGTGCCTGCAGTGCGGTCTGAGTAATTAAGTGAACTGCATGACTGTGGTACAATAAGGGTCAGAACAAGCCAGATTCATGGAACACACCCAGTTCCACAGGGGGTCCATGGGAGACTAACTCCAAAACAGAAAACTCAGGCCCCATTACAGCACTTTCTGTCAAAGTTTAGCTCCAACTTTCCAAACTCCCATGGGTTAACTCTGAGAGGGAACAGAATATTTGAGTCTTCTATGCGTCCTAAATAAAGTTACATTGAGAAAAAGCTATTTGGATACTGATCACTTGACTGTTTCAGATTTTTAGAACACAGTGCCAAAAGAGGCATGGGAAATATTACAAAAACACTAGTTGTCATTTTATGTAAGGGCTGCTAAGCACAGTAAAATTCTAACAGACAATCAATATAGCAACTTGATACTAATATCTTCAATTATCACACCAGGAGATGCTTTTCAGAACAGTGAAACCCATAACAGGTTCAGAGTAGCTCCTCTTTTAAAGACATCAGTCTTCTCCGAAATCTTGCTGAAGTAGCTGACCACTTCCTTGTGAAGCACTACAGTTAAGACCAACTGCAGTTGCTGCCTTGCAGATAAACTGTTTTCTTTCCTATGCTCTTAATTTTACATGTGTTAGTATATCAGGCATGGGAATAATTTCAAATGGTAACTAGCACCCAGCTAGCATAGACTACATCCCAGCTGATACTTTTAGAATTCATTTAAAGACTTTTTGATACTAAAGTGACAGTACTATACTTTAAGTGATCTGGAGCAAGCAAAATTATCTTATCTGTCCATACGCTTACACGCTAAATCTCTCTACTTGTTTCCAGCAGAAAGCCTTTAAGTACGGCATTGCTTCTCAAGTCATCTCTTGAAATACTCAAGTAGTTTTGTAATACATGCATGACAACTTCTTTTGCAGCTACTTCTTCAGGGTGAATTGTCACAATCAAAGTTTCATAAATATGAAGAAGTGCTCTTAAAAGGTTCAATCTGTGTTCTGCTCTGAACCCTAGCACTGATCCCAATCAGCTGGTAGATAATGTCAAAGTCAGACAGGATTTACTGTGAACAGCTTAAGGTTCAAACATCAGCAGTAAAAAAATCTCAATGCCTTGAGTGGAAAAGAAAACTCTTTCCTGGAGGAAAATCTGTGCATACTTCAGAAAACATTTAGAGTAGTTTCAAAGTGTTGTGACACTAAAACTGATTTTCTAAAGCAGATTCCTTCTGTCAGTTTGGGTGAGTGACAAAAGTAGTCATGCATTTTAGTAGGTAATTCAGAGCTTAGAAGGGATGCTGTCTCTCTTACTTTTCAGTGTGTTTTGCTCTAGGAAAGACTTACAGTTCCGAGGTCAACAATGAAACAATCTCCTCTGTTGAAGCTGGTCCAAGCCAGGGGGACTTCTGTGGCTCTCACAACTCTCCGGCCCTTGATATGCAGAAGCCTCTGAGCGCTCAGATCATTAGTAACAACATGATTAAATCCAGAGGCAACACCACCTGCCTGAATAAAACAAAACAAAGCAGCAAGCTTTATTTCAGTCTGATTTCTGCAAATTTACTGGTTTTGCTACAGCTGAGTATCTAGCAGGGTTAAAAAATAGTTTATGCAGTGTAAGGTGAGCCAAAATAATATACATGGGAAACACTGCTGTTGCTAAACTCTCAGGTGTGAGCGTTTTATCTGAAGGAACAGATGTCACCCTGCTTCAAAGGGTTTTCAGATGAATGGGGAAAGGGAAAGCACAGGTTTTATCACACTTTCATGCATCATCCAGAGGATGAGGTAATGCAAAACCACACTGTTAGGACAAAAATCAGTAGGTTATCAAATAAGGACTGAGGGAAAGCAGAGGATTACACAGCTCCTGTACAAGTTTTCACTATTTCCTTAAATTCAGAGGTCCGGGTGTTTTTAGTGCCTGGTTATGTGTAGAGGGAAGAGTCATTCCACAGTGCTCTGTAATTTTCTGAAAGGAATACTTACAACCTAGGTGGCAACCTAGCAAAGAGTACCAAACTGAGGGAAGTGAGACAAGACTTTATTGATTTGCAATCTATAAAGTGTAATTTAGCCCTGTAAACTGCCTCTGTTGACTGCCTCTAAGGCAGCATTCTCCACTCCTCCAGGAGGCCCAGTTGGGCCAGACCTTGGGTTGGAATAGAAAGGGTCTCTTGAAATTTCAAGAAAAAACCAAACAAATTGTAAAAAAGTGGGCAGGCCACTGTCAAGCTCTCTTACACAAAGTTAAAAGCTTCAAATTGGTTGTGTAGACTGTGACAAGTCACAAGCCTCTATAATGAAAAAAAGGCTGTCTGACCAATGGCTCCCAGAGCTCCTACTACAAGGAGATTCTCAGGAGATACATTACTTTATTCTTAAAAAATACAAATGTCTCAAAACATTTCCAAAGATTCTGCTTCTGAAAGTGACACAACAAGAAGGCTGACACTACAGCTTTAAAAAAAACTTAATTTTCATGAAAAGATTTGGGAGTTTTTTTTACTTACCTCAAAGAGGCAAACTGCAGTACAACTGCAAAAAGCACCATTTTTAGACTAAAGTGAGGTTTTGGTCTTCTCCACTGTGCTCATGTTTTTAACCATTTGAGCATATCAGGTTCTGCATTTGAACAAAATGATGCAGTCTACAACATAAAAATGGTTTCTGCAAAATTTACTGCCTCCCAAACGTGGAGAGTCCCTGCTGGGAGCGCCCTTAGACACAAGTATGAAGTCTCAGGGTAGCTTGGCTGGAGTGGAGGGGTGGGGAATAAACCACCAGGACAGGTTTTCAGTTATCAGAAGAGACACTGATAAGCAAGCTGCTGTTTTCAGTAAAAGTACCGGGACTCCTATAGCTTAGGATAGGTAGTTCAGATCTAAAAATCACTAAAAATTAAGAAACAAATGTTAAACTTTCAGTAACAGATACAAAGCAAAAGATTTATCTTTACTTGGGGGACAACGTTACATATATTTTTAGAATATATTTCGACAGCTGGCTCTTTACCTTGTATTTAATTCCTCCTTTGAAGTAGCCCACAAACTCAGTAGACTCATATCCTTGAATTTCTCTACTCTGCACAGGCTTTCCTCCTAAATAGTCATCCATTTGAACAGCGAAGATAGCTGCAGCTGTGCTTTCATCCTGGGTACATTCTTTCCCTGAAATAAGATGAAGCATTATGTCTATAAAGCACTAATAAAACTTTGAATTCTGTTGGAGAAATTGTTTCTGTGACAAACAGGCACTGCCTTCAGCAGGTTGTACAGCCCATGTACGCATTGCCACAAAGCACTACATCATAACCTTGTTCACCACCAAATGTGGGACCATCCAGCCTATTTTTTAACTACCTGTAGAATTACATTTGTAAGAAAAAAAAAGTGAAAAACAGCAAAGTTCATCTCTCTCAGCCTCTTTGGACAATAGAACATTTTAATTCAGCGAGTTTAGCATGACAAGTGTCTACAATAATGATTTCTGGACTTTGAGTTAAAGTGCAAAGGCCAAGAAAGGTCATATCAAAGGACTGATTAGATGGTAAACCATATATTTATGCTAAGAGCAACTTTCCAATTCATAAAGTTAAAATAACTCAAGAGGAATCCTATTGACACTATAAAGCAAGCAATGGGTATTTTGCTTGGATATCTTTTATTGGATCGCCTGGTACACTGGGAGAAAGAAAAGCAGCTTTTGGGCTCAGATATTTGCTTCATGAGGTCATACTGGTTTGTACCTTTCAGAGATTAGCATCTTCTCAGGACTGTGGCAAAGTGACCTCCTTAACTAGTGTGCTGATGGCCTAATCACACTGCAAAGTAGGCTGTGTATCAAAACAAAACTTTTAGCATAGGGCCATGCATTTTTGATGAATATTTCTGGTGCTTTTGAATGTTTAAAGAAGAGTCAAGTCTCAAAAAAATGACTTCTCAAGAACTTTTGAAGAGGGAAAGGCAAGGTTTTCCTTTTTCCTTTTTTTCCTTTAGCTTTTTCCTCCCCCCCCCCAAATAAGAGGGAGATGCTGCTATACAAGCAACAGTTCTCAAGAGCAGCTTTCCAACTACATTAATCACTTCCTTGTTTCTAGGTGACTGAGTGGAAAAATACCGTAGAGCACCAGAGGCTGTGGGAGAAAAGGAAGTGTGTAGTGAGGTCCTGGTGTCACCTCACAGTGTAGTGAGTCACTGGTGTCACAGAAATATGTTGGTAAAGCATTAGGAAAGAATAAACTATGGGAGAGAGGGGACAGGGATGCTTCTGGGCATTGCTGACCTAGCTCCTCTCTGAGGGAGAATGTCCCCTCCGCCCACCAACACCTGTGCTTCTCCTAGGAGCAGTGTCACCACAGCCACCACCATAGCTTTTGTGGAGACACAGGTGCAATGGAAGCCTCCAGAAAGCAGCAAGGATGAAACAAGGAAGGGAACCAAAAGATAACAGAGGCATAGGGAAGAGAAGAGCATGAGGTCTGCCCAGAAAAGGTGAAAAACATTACTGAAAGCAGGATGTAACACAAGAACCTCTGAAAAACAAAAATCCCCATCTCTCAGTGACAGAAGAACTCGCTACGTGGCAATGTGCTTTCTTAGACCTGAGTACCACCTTAAAGTTGGTGGCAAAGCTTTGTTGTTTTGGGCTTGTTTGTTTTGGTTTGGTTTTTTTTAATAGGGTTATTCATATCCATTAGGACTAGATACTTCATAGTTATTGCTTGCAATTACACAACAGGGTTCAGGGTTGAAGAAAAGTGGTTTTAGAACAGTGTTAGAGATAAGAACCATTACCAGCTCTCACAGCTGCTATGCAATAAAATACTTAGTGAAACCCTGTTTAAAAAAAAACCCAACAAGTGAGCATCAATCCAAGTGTACGTTATTCAAGCTTGCATGAAAAACAGATTTATATTGTAGTCTGAAGCACAAACAGCTATAAAATAAGCCAGAGTATATAGGAAAAAGAACAAAATATTTTACGAGACTAGATCCTGGTCCACATCAATAGGTCTTATCACTTAATCTCTGGGGTCAGGGGTTAAAATATAGTCAAAACACACCATGCATGATTTTATTAAAGATACTAAGTGGGGTATAGCAGTCTTATGCCCACAAGGAGCCTGATACTGGCATAGCATATGCTGTTTCTACTAGCAAGTTTCAAGTTGAGACAGCTCCATTAGGATTAGTACTTTAGCTACTAAGACATCCCTCAAGTGCCAGCACACACAAGCAAGCCAGAATTCCTGAGCAAAGTTAAAAATGGATACAAATTCCCCAGCACAGATCCACATCTATTGCTTGGTCATGCCAACATCAGTTGCAGAACCTGAGTTAGTTCAGGGTAAAACAGTGGCTTTCACATAGAAAGCTTCAGGCCAGCAAAACAACTCTTTGGCCAATTTAACACTATGATGCCAGTCACAGCACAAGACTGTCAGCACATCAAGGTCACAGGCCATCCTCCCACAGTCTATGTCTCCTTCTAACCCACTGCATATGCCCAAGCAAGGCATTAGGAGGAAGTCTGCTACTATATAATATGAAAATTAAATGCTCTGCTTTTATTCTGAATGTGGGGTCTTTTTTGGTGAAGTCAGAATCCATCCAGACTCAAAGCCAGTGTACGAGGTCCACACAACAACACAGGCCACAGATGGCAGGGAGTAGGACTGTGCCACCAAATGGCAAGCCTAAAATCTGTAGGGTTTCCACCAATCTAATTTCACAAAGGTTCTTTCCATCCCAAAGTCTGACTGATAATGACTACTGTAACTGTTCAAGGACAGCTTATGGTAAGCCCTCAGAAAGACCCTACCAAGGTCCTCCTGGTCCACAGGTCATATGGCCTTTGCTCATGAGAGCAAGTTTGGTGCATGTAACAGTGGTGAGAATCAGTGAGCAAAAATACTGAAATGATTCAAACTCTTGCCTTGAGTGAGACTGCCCTTCACCATACACCTTGTATGAAGTGCTGGTCTCTTGTGGCTATTAAGCTTGCAGCAGTGTTTGAGTCCACCCCACTACTGGAGTATCTTGCAAGCAGGAAGGGATTTCCCAGCGGTTCACCATGCTGCTGCCAACCTGCCACCTGCATAAGAACAATGTGTGCCCAGATTACCTGAAGCTGTTTACCATATCTGATTATCACCACATCAGCATGCACCAGCATGTGCAACTAAAGGTCTTTAGGCAGCATTAAAGATGCTTTAATTAGTGCAAATATCAGTCACTGTTCTGACTTCACTCCCAGTTGCAAGGAGTCCTTACATCTTTCCCAGGGAAAGGTCTACTATACCTTAACTACTACATAAATAGCTTTAACTTCATTAACAAAGGTCTAAATAGCCAAGCCCTGCTATTAACTAGCAGTGCTGTTGACATAAGAACATCTGCCAGAAATTCACTGATGCTGCCATCTATGATTAAGTTCTTGTCAGAGACTGACACTTCCCCACTTGCCAGCTGATAACTCATAACACATGCAAAACCAAACAAGCTTGAAATATTTATGCAGAAGCAATCCCAGCTTCATCTGCTATTCTTTTTCAATGCATCCAGAAGTGAGAATGCATTCAAAATGAGAACCACAGCAACTCAAATGCATTAGTGTTAATACACATTGACCTGTCTTTATGCGCATTCACCAAGATGAGTGCTTACAAATACAAACCAAATGGCGAAACAAGAACAAAGTAATAGCTTTCAGGCAGCTACACAGCAGCTGCTACTGCTGGATGACTTGATGACCAGACAAGGAAGTCTCAAGAAATCTCAAAAAGATGAGGAAGCCATGTAAAATGCATCCTTATAACAAGCTTCTATTTTGCTGTAAACACTGTGCTAGCCAAGGTCGAAAGAACAATTCCAGTGCCTCAGCCCAATTCCAGTGTTCCCAGCTGCTTTGAGAGAGGCTTTGCTAGGCTGTCAGACTGATATCAAAGAGGAAAGGTTTTACAGAAAACCTGGTGACTTTGCCTCCAATCTCTCCATCATCAGAAAACAAATCTGGTCTAGCTGAAAAAGGCAACATCTGGACACAAAGGAGTGCAACAATGCCACAAGGAGATGGCCACAATGAAATTTTGGTCCTAGTGGAAACAAAGGCAAGGAAACTTCATTGGAAGGAAGGCAGCATTTCAATCCTAAATCTTGGTTGGATGTGGTCAAGACTTGACTTTAACCCTCCAGCACTTTTTCAAGCTAACATCACAAATCAATCAAATACTCACTTTTCTATCATACCCCACTTTCTCACTGCCAAAGCACTGCCACACCAGAAACAGCGAGGCTTGGCATCGCCCACATCCTTGGCTGTAGCCCTACTTCTAGTACTTAAAGCATCTCAGCTTGGAAATTGCACACACGAAGCATTCAGGAAAAGGGGAAAAACCGCAGCCCCCGATCCCCTGAAGCCCAGCAAGGTACTTCAGCGACGGCAGGGGCCCCCAGCTGCCCCCCGTCTCCTGCACCCCACTG